AAAAAATCGATATATCCCGAAAAATAAATATTTTTAAATTTTTCAAAATTGTACTTTTTTGGCCCGCTGCGGGTTATGCTTGCAATAAATAGCAAGTATGGGAACGTAAAAGAGTAACCGCAATTTTCGCCCGTTTTTGCGTAGTGTGTAGCAAGAACGGGGAAGATCGTCCAGAGGTCTCCGTGGGCTTAAATTGATCGTCATGAAAAATCTAGGGAGCATAATTCGATTTTTCCAATATTTGTCCGACTTACCCCTACTTAAGGGGTGGAAACCACTCCTAAAACAAGAAACGTGAGAAAATGGTCGATCAATTCTTGGTAAAACTTGGCAGGAATTTGAATGACAAGGAAGAGATCAGGGATGTTCTTCCAAATATGCTCAAGGTGAAAAACATCCCCCGCGTGGGGGTAAAACCACCCCTATTGCCGAAAACCGGCGGCAAATGATGTTCCCCTCATGAATTGCCTTTTTTGTGCCACTCTTCCTTATAAATCCAAATGATATGAAATACATGCCCCCATAATTCGTTCTTCTGTCGGATTCTGATCAGTTACCCCTACTGAAGGGCTGGAAACCACCCCTAAAACAAGAAAACAGAATGGTCACCAAAATCTGGGTAAAAATTGGCGGAATTCCACATGGCAAGGGTAATATCAAGAATGCCCTCCTAAAAATGCTCAAAGTGAAAAACATCCCCCGCGTGGGGTGGGTTTATCATGAGCATTTTTAGAAGGACATTCCTGACTTTACCCTTGCCATGTGAAATTCCCCGAATTTTACCAAGAATTCATCGACTATTTTCTCATTTTTCTTGTTTTAGGGGTGGTTTCCACCCCTTAAGTAGGGGTAAGTCGGGCAAATATTGGAAAAATCGAATTATGCTCACCTAGATTTTTCATGACGATCAATTTAAGCCCGCAAAAACGGGCGGATTTTGCGGTCACTCTTTAAACGAGTTATAGCAGAAGAGAAAAGAGAAGATTTTTAACGGTTTTTTCGATATATCTCGTAAAGTAACAAAGCAATCGATACTAACAAAAAATCAGTCGATGGATCTTTTTAAAACCTAGAACTTTCTCCTTTAAAATTTTTCAATCGGTGCTATATTTTTTTAGTTATTTTAGAAAAACCGTTTTTTGCAACTTTGCGATTTTTTTTAACCATGTTCGCCATTTTGGATCGAGTTTAAAGAACAAGAAACTCAATTTAAAATTTAATTTCCTATACGGTCATATTTTTTTTGTCCAGGTAATAGTTTCTGCAAATTTAACATTAATCCGTGACAGAATGCTTGGACTAGTATGGCGAAATGGACATTTCCACCCAAAAAGACGACGTGCCCCACCGACGAGCGCTGAAATGAACCGAGCTTCTCCGCGGCCATGCGGCGCACCTGCGGCCTGCTATTATCTATGCAGATGGGCCCTCGGGATTAGAACTCGGGACTCTTTGTCTACGTTGGCGAGCCCAGCGGTGCCCCGCGGCCGGGATCAATAGGTCAGCCCGGCGTGCACGCCGAGTTCTTCCACGGAGGACAGGGGCCGCAGGGCTGGGGTTGCTCGCCGCCCGAGGCTGGTAACGGCGACCAAGCACCCTCCGCAATGCTGGAGTCGCAAGAGCGTCGCGTGAAGTGGACTTTGTGTCGGGAAATTAGTCGCATGGTAAAACCAACTCCCATAATGAAGTTATTCCGTAAACAACTGCTGACGAGGACCAGTTAATCTGAAACTATACTAACTATGTAGTTCCAAAACTATATACAGGGTGATTAATTAATGGGACAGAGCTTAACGGCAGGTTGCCGACATCCAAATGGAGTGATTAAGTTATAGGCCAGGAAATATAAAGTTGGACGCGACTTTTTGTTTCGGCAAGCTGAATTTATCATTATAGATGCTAAATATTATGTACAATAACATATTAGTTTCCACAGTCATAAAAATGGGGGGAAGATTGTTTACAGGCTGGTTAATTGTATAATTTTTACGTAAATTCACGTTTTATAACTTTTATCCGTTCATTTCCACGAGAAAACAGTAAGGTACTTGTTTTTCGTCTGCAAAAGACCTACGAAACTAGCCCTCGAGCGTCAAAAAATATTGATTAGATCAAAAGTTATAAACAGAAGAAATTAATTTACGACTTTTGAATTAAACATTTATAAACTGCGTTATTATTACCAGGACGTTTTGGCATCGCATCCTACCATTCCTTGTCACTGTCTAATAACTCACACGAAATCTGGAATCGGTAAGTTGAATAGTTTATAAGTTATGACTTTATAAACAAATTAACTAATTATTAGTCTGGACGATCCCGAGGATCTTCCACAATCGCACTGATTTTTTCATGGTAGATTTCATAATAATACATTGAAATCTATAATTTTTTTTTTAATTTCAAATTTGCAACCTGGAATTTTTGTTTATTGAAATAAAATGTCACGAAATGGTAATTTCCCAGCTTATTTTCCTGGACTTGAATACCGCTGGACTAAGGTATAAATCGTTTTGTACCGAGAATTGCTCCAAGTTAAACTTCAAATAGCCGAACATAACGTTATATGAAACTGCAGACAACTTTTTAAAAAAGAAGAATCAGAAAATTGCGGCAACGCGAAACGCTGCGGCTTATAAATTTCAGTTACCTTATTATTATTGTTGTGTGTATACGAAAATAGTATCGGCAGAGCATTAATCATACCGGGTAGATGTTAATGCACCATCTTAGGTTGTCAAATAAATCTAAATTCTTCACCGGCGGTAGAGTATAATAATACTTTATGATATAAATTCCGTTCTGAGAATGAGTTATTTTAGAGCAGCCATATATCTGCGTGACTCATTTAAAATTCAACGCCAAGAAAAACTAATTTAATATGAATAAGTAATTCCGAATAAATATAAAAGCCCTCTGATGCTCGGGCCCGTGGCGCGGGGGTATTAACTAATATAATATTCTATTATTTTTTATTCGTCCTCATAAAGTATGAAAAGGAAAGTATATTTTTTCGGGAGTGCCACATAAATTATTTATTTTTAAATTCATTGTTCGCGGACAGACCGGGGAAATGTATTATTTAGTGGGCACAGCCAAAAATGTGTGTTCCTATAATATGATGTATCCGCAGTTCGTGAAATAATCATTCCTCCCCGCTCTCACTAATTTATTGTCGCTTAATGCTGAAATATAGATTTCATTTATATTTATGCCGTTTATTATTTACTCTCTTGCCGATAAACTTACACACGGCTTTCGTATATTAAGGCGACGCATAAATTTCTCCATGCAGGCCGCAATGCAACGTACACATAAATAGAATTCGGTAAATTAATAAATTATCGGGCAACGCAAGCGGAACAGGGTCCTACTTTTATGTATGGTTATGTATTTATGATACCGTCACATTAAATGCTAGCTGGTGTTGGAGAAAATGTACTAGATGCCGTACCAACTATCTAGTCATCTCGAAATATGTGTAAACCTCGTAATAATGAAGCAGAACGTTCAGCGATCAACGACTTAGATGATGTTAACAATGCTGTGCTATTAAGGAGGTATATCGGGTTTACCCAAATGCACAGATGTACTTGAAATTTATATAGCGTATTACCCAGTGCTCCCTCTGCGCGTCATATTTTTTTTAAATTTATTTTGAATCTAGATTTTCAGATATTGTTGTTGAAAGTTGTTCTTTTTAACATAGGTTTATATGGCGAAGAATATGTAGAAATTGTGAAACAAAACTTTTCCATAGATAGTACACAATATTANTCGCTATAAGCTACTCCTACGTCCAATGTGTCAGAGCCAACTTCGACCACGTTTTTATTTGAACGCTCGTTAGTTATATATTATTACATATTCGGAAATCTTATTAAAAGAGCTTTAAAAAAAAATAGTAAAGATTCGTTTCTTCTGTGTGTGACATTTCGTTTTGTATTTTATTTAAAACTGTGTTTAGTTTTCGTTTTTTGAACACTGTTATTTTAAGAAAATAGTGTGAGGAAAACTTCAGCAATTATGGATAGAAAGAAGAAACTGTCAAACTATTATTGTTCAGTTCAAGGTTGCTCTTCATGGTCCAAGAAAAATCCAGAATTAAGTTTTCATCAAAACATTGAAGAAATTTTAAAAATATTATTGGCGATAGATAATACTCCCTGAATTTCATGAGGGTTGTTAGTAAGTAAGGGCACTAGTTTGCAGACACAATAATAAATTTCTAAATATAAATTAACTTTGACCAATTTTCCCATATAGTACCACATGATCAGCGTTAAAAACTGCCTCTCCTTCCGATATACAACGAGTTTTCGTTGGCATATATGTAAATAGGAAATGTATTCCACAACGGATAAGTTCATAGTTATAACTTAATAAAATGTACATTAAATTGTAATGCTAGAGACAAATAAAGTGGACATAAATACTTGCCTTAAAATTTATTTATGAAATATTTGAAACCTATAAAATAACACAAAAGTCAAATAATCGCAGTTTGATAACAAAATTACTAATAATAATGGCAAATAAGACAAATGTTGTTCAAATGAATGTGTAAACACGAACGGCAATGTCAAAATTACCTTGTCTCGGAGCTTACTGCTTTCGCCGCTTGGTACGCTTGCATCTTAAAAATTATCGCGGATTATAATAAGAAGTTTTTTTTCTTATTCTTAGCCAGAACCCGTACAATTTTGTCGATTTGAACACCCTATATACCAACCCCTTTTCTTAATACAATCGATTTGAGCTGATGTATATGTTTCATTTATATAAACACACCCTGTCAGTAGCTTTATTTATGATTAGAAATTAATGTGGTTCCGTTTAAACGCTCAGCTAAGAACGTCAATTTGGAAAATTCGTTTGCTACATTTAGTAACGTTATACCGAACAAGCCGAGAAGTCGTCGGTCCTCTCACGCGTATTATAATAATTTTCTTAAAGATTCGAAGAATAATTGAGACCTGGGTAATTATTTCTAAAAAGAGATGCTACGCTATTTGATAATAATATTGTTATCCTCCACAACAAGCAGCATTAAAGCCGACTTAGACTTTGAAGAAAGCCTGAAAGAATACATACCGATTTACAAGAGGAGGGCTGAAAACTATTCTCGCTGCAATATGTTCTTCAAATCCTCTTCAGCGGTTTCAAAGAACATGGCGAACTGGTTCGCATCGCAGAACGGTTGTGGGAATATCATCATCAGCAACGTGTTGGATTACAAATTCGCCGTAACAGACAGTCACGCTAACTTTCATTTCTTTGAGTCGGTACAACATGTAAAAGGAAACTTACTAAAATTACCAGAAACCTTCCTCTTCAACGGGAAAGGAGACTCGCACTTTATTATAGGCACCAAGACAAAAGACTTCAAGTTCCTCCTAGATACCTTTGAATTCTTTTGGAAGAAGCGTTTTATCAATTGCGTGATAGTATTCGTTTATGAACATCTAGAAATATTTGCGTACGACACTTTTCGTCAGGTAGCCTTAAATCTCACAGCGTGCGACAGGTGTCCCTTATTCTCGCGAGTTTTGCGCAACTTCTGGGGGTACCCCTTAAGGGTGAACATGTTCGAAGAATACCCACTTTTGAGAAAAGTCGACGACAGGTGGATGGGAAAAGACTACGGCATCATGATGGAAATTGCGAAAAGATCCAACGTTAGCCTTCAGATATTAGACACGTCAGGGGGTTTTGGGGGAACTATGGAAAGCTTGATCCGCAACGAGTCAGATATCTGCTTCGTAAGTATGTTTCTCCTGACTAAATATAAAATGAAAGGGATTGATTATGTTTACCCCGAACACATCAACAGTATTGTGTTGCTGGTTCCTCGCAGTCCAAAAATACCGCAATATAAAAAACTGATCTACATATTCGACAAGAATGTATGGATATGTCTGTCAATTACGATACTGGGAGTTGCGCTTGTCGTTAAAATAATAGCAACTTGTAACAACCGCAGGAACACGTACTTTTATTATCTCTTGGTAGTGTGGCGATCATTTTTACAACAAGGGGTGTGTAGCTCTCGGCAGAGGTATCACAAAGCTAGACCATTCTTGGTCTTATGGCTGTATTTCAGCTTGATATTTGGCACTGCTTTTCAAACATCGCTAATGAGCATGTTCATAAAATCAAAGTATTGGAAAGACATAAACACACTGTCCGAGGTTAGACAATTGGGATTGCCAATCTATGTTCCAGCGGTTTACGGTGACGTGATTCCAAAGAGATATAAACTTCACAAACAACTTAAATTTGTCGAAGGCATGAACCAGTTGCATGATTTGATTTCTACGTCCAACACCTTCAGCGGGTACATTATGACCGAAGAGGCTGCCCGTGTCTACGTAGAGTTTATAAGAAGCAAAGACGATAAACCCATATACCATATAGTTGGTGAAAAATTAATACCTGGAATTAACACGTACATGGTTCAGAAGAAGTCCCCTTTCTTAAAAAGAATTAACAAAATGATGTTGTTGATACGACAATTTGGTTTACGGGACCACTGGATGAAGAACTCCCCAGTGGTCAATGAGAATTCCAAAAATATAAGAATGAGTAATCTACAGGGTGTCCTATATTTATTAGTTTTGGGTTATATTATTAGTATTATGTGTTTTATTAGTGAACTGTTAATTCATAAGTTCAAAAAGTGAACATTCTTAACTATATTTTTAAATAGCCCCAATTTTTTAAATTTTATTTAGCTGATTTTTAACCTGGTCTGTTGGTATGGACCTGGTTTGCCACTCTACATAATCTCTTCTTTCATTCATCTCCTGAGAAATAGTCTATCTGAAAATTATAGAACACAACAAAGTGGGGTTGGAAAAACTGATGGGAAAACAATTTGTTTTCTAAAACATTACATACTTGTTCTAGATTAATATGAATTGGAGGAAGAGGGTATGTGGAGTGGCCAGCCAGGTCACCTAATTTTTAATAAATATAGGTTACTGACTCCAGATGTGTTAAAAAAAAACACATTACGAAAATACACTGTATAGAGGACGATGGTGGATATTTTGAAAGAATTGAAGAAATTGATCCTTATTTCTGTGTAAAAATCAATTAAACAAAGTTTAAAGAAATGTAGCTATACGGAGTAACTTAAAGACGTTTTAAAATATGTTATGTGATACTTCTTGTAATATTAATATCTTTAGGAGGATTTTTCTTTTCAAAAATTCATTATTTCCAAAGTTAATCGGAGTGATTACATTCTTTGTTGTGACGCCCTATAAACCTTACTATTAGCACAAAAAATAGATAGTTTATATTGAGATAGATAATAAGTATTTCACTGTACACCCTTATGAAAAAATAAATATTTTGCATAATGTAATAACATATTTAGTAAATAAACCATGTGCTTTTAGACAAAAGTTCTTCTCATTCACATCTCCAAAATGTTCCAAACGTCATATGTAGGGATAGGTATGTACTTATTTGTCAAAAAATGACGTCTTTGAAGAAAAATGTTCGACTAGGAGTCTTTAGGATTACTTTAGCCAAAAGCTAAAGAAATTTTCGGCAAGGAATATTCGTAAATCTTAATAGAATGATGTCTCACAAAGAAAATGAGCCCCATTGGGTTAATTTTGGTAGTAGAATCCATTTCCATAATGCAATTTCAGTATAAATCCTAGTATATACAAGGTTTCATCAAAAAGTAAAGGGAATTGTTAATTGTAAGTCATTTTTTTCCGGATTACCTTCAGTACAACTTACATAATAAAAATGTAGATCCTAGATCTGGGCGAGGTCCGGAACATTTTCAAAATTAATTGCAAAAATGTTTAAACAAATTTTTAAAAATATGTATTTTATCTGAGTTTTTTAGTTATATCTTGGAACCTATGCATTTTGGAAGAATATTGAAATGGAAAAAAGTTTTAGAATTAAATTTTGCACAATAAACTGTAAGTTAAAAAAAATTTTAAATTTATATTACCAATGTTTCAAAATAGCAATAATTGATGAAAAAAAGGCAAAATAATCAAGTTTTTTGGATAATTATTTTAAAATGTTTTAATTGCTCTGAGGGCATTCCAATTTTGGTAAATAAAACTTCAAACCAAATTTCATTAAAATCGGTTCTAGTTCTCGCAAAATAATTTTTTGAAAAAAATTGTTCGAATTTTCACAGCCTCAAATAAAGCATCTAGATACTTGAAAATAGTTATAATTATTACAATTATTTAAATAATTTTTGTTTAAACAAATAAAATAAAATTTTTATTTGTTATTAAATTAATTTTTTGTTAAATACGGATAAAATTAAGAAAAAATAGTACTTTAAAATTATAATTTTTGAAAAAAACTAAATTGCAGATTGATCAATGTAATCTAATTGTTTAAAAATAAAAAAAAAGAGTGTTAACTTTAAAAATTTACTGTAGCCGTCCTAACCAACCAATTTCAACTTTTCAAAAACTATTTGAAAGGTTGAGCGGTCTTTTCTATGTGAAAAAATTTTCAAACGCTTTATTAAAAGAGGCCTTTAAAAAAATATTAACAAAACCTACAATAAAATATGTTCTATTTTTTCCCTCAAAAACGGTGCATCCTGCGAAAAAAATTAAAGACACCAATTTTATTCAGAATTGATGGCGGATATCTAAAATAATATCAAAACTGGAAAAGTCAGTGGCGTACCATTTTTTTTATTAAAAAAAATGTCCATTTATCCCTCCAAAGGGTTTTTCAAATTTCGAGTCAATATCTTTAAACTCTTAACTTTTAACTCTTTGAAATAATTATTAATAAAAGTAAATAAAAAATTAAAATTTAAATACTCTGTATCTGGGATACGAAGCATATTCGCCCCCTAAAATATTTTGCGATTATTTACCAACACCCTGTAAATGTACATAAATATAAAACAGTCGCTAGTGACTGAAAGTTGATTTTATCACTAAGAACCAACCTATAAGAGACCCATAAAACTACAACTGTTAAACAAAGAAACTGATTGAGTATATGTTTTTGTATTTTTGATTTATAAAAAATATACACCTCAAAATTTCATCTAAGACGTAAAGTTTTCAGTTAAATTACAGTTTCAGCAAATTTCAAATACGTTTTGTTTTACATACATGTAGTTTGTATTTAGTTGTTTACATAGCAACAATTTTAACAATTTAAAACGTAAAATTAGTTATCGGTACGAACGATTTTTAAACAGTAATTGTCACCTTAACATACCCTGTAATATTAATGGAAGCTCATTTACGCAACATAACGAATCCGAAATAATTACCTTTAGCTATCATTCATAAATGCTATTAACGCTTTGGGCATTAAACGAGGAGTAAATTTATTGGTCTAATAATCGAAGCTCTATGTACAGGGCGTCCAGTGCCTGATATACCTATAGGCTGGTGTAGGCTGCAGCCTACAGGGCCCCACCAACTAGGGCCCCCATCATGTTAATAAAAAATTTTTACGAAAACTAATTTTTTTTAGGATTTTTTTAAACCTTCCCATCATGAACAAGACACTACAGATATTATCGAAATGCTCGTTATCCTTTATTATAAATTTTTTAAATTTATTTATCATGTGGGTAGCAAAATTAAAGCTTTTTTGAACCTTGCGTCCCTCTAGAAAATTGGTTTTAAAATAACGTGTTTATATTAATAGTGTTTTTTTTTATTTTACCAGTAATAATTTTTTTTAAGCCAACTTCTACAATTTATTATTTAAAATCACTTTTTTTTCTTTTAAAAATCTAATTACATCGTATTACCCCAAGGGTAAGTGGCTTTTAATTCTTCATTTCCGGTTATACATCTTGTGTACCTGGGGAAAGTGGGTAAAAATTTACTTTTATTTAATTCAATTTTTTTTGGGCGCGGCTTACCAAAAAGGATATTTTTTTTCTAGAATAGGACCCCACCAATTTTCAGTCTACAGGCCCCCACCACTGTAAATCAGACACTAACGACGGTGACAACATTTTTAACATTAAGGCGATGTTTCGCATTGTATTAGCTATGTCCTCTCCCAATTTGGTTTAGTGTAACTCTCTCGGTTTCGAGAATACAATACATATTATGTATGTTTTCAGCCATGAAAATTGAATAATTTGGAATATTTCGAATTTTTACCCCCAAGAACGGCGGTGACAACATTTTTAACATTAAGGCGATGTTTCGCATTGTATTAGCTATGTCCTCTCCAAATTTGGTTTAGTGTAACTCTCTCGGTTTCGAGAATACAATACCTATGTATGTTTTCAGCCACGAAAATTGAATAATTCCAAATATTTCGAATTTTCACCCCCAAGAACGACGGTGACAAAGCCCCTCCATATCTTTTTAACCGTTGGAAATATCGAAAAACTAAGGAGAAGATATAGAGAAAAAATTTCTGTCGTTTTTCGTTTGTCTGTTATGGGCCCGAGACGAGAACTTTGGGACACCCTGTACACACTGGTACAATATTATTAAAAAAAGAGCTTATGTTTATACCAGTGGTTATGATATATAACACATTTATTTTACTTTTTCTTCATCAATTAATTTAGTGAAAAATCGCTATACATATTCGATATCATTATTTAAAATGAAGTAAATATACCCTACGGGGTGTGTTTGAATGCTGCCAAATAATCTGGAGGCTAAAATACGATAATAGGACCAAATATACCTTAGTACAAAATTACAGTTAGTGTTTAAGTATTTGAAAATTATAACAAATATCTCAAGAAAACGGGCAAATGAATTAACTTCAAGCTTACCTATTCATCTCATTTTGGTCTCAAGATTATTTGGTAGCACCTTGGCTACTTCAATACGACCTGTATAAAATATATACCTGTAGACACCTACCTATAAGTATACCTATAAAAACCCTAAACTATTTCTGTATGTAACAAATTAACAAACATTAATTCATTTATGTGTTATGGTAATTTGTTATCTGATAATGAGATTGGTTACTATTTGTCTAAATGTAAAATTTCTGTAATAATCACCATTCTGTATGTATACAATACAAACGTTTGAACTAGAAGCTTTACGAACTACTGGTTTTGTACTTCCAGAGCCAGTAGATGTACAAATACATATATTACTGGCTCTGTGTACTTCATGCTATCAGCGCCACCTATGGCAAAAACTTGACATGAATACAGACAACTGCATCTAAAAGTAGGAAACATGGACGGAAGAACGGTGTTGTCAAAATGTGATAAAATGAATAATATTTGAGTAGGCATAAGAATGTTAATCAAACAACTAATTCTAAATTTGGGTTTGTTATAGAATTATTTAATTTCTTATCTTAAACAATCAAAAGCCAATAAATATTTAATTATATTTACAAAATACAATTTTATATAGAAATATGAAGCTAATGTTCAACAAAGTGAATAAAAATAATGCAATTACAAAGTTACATAATCAAAAATCATGATTTTAAGATCAATAGTTTTAATTATAATTATTACATTTGTTAATTTACGTAGGAGGTTTATTAAGATTTTTTTTGTATTAAATTATCGTTCAAATTACGTTTTGATTTATTTGATCAGCAATCTAGGGAAGACGGTCTGGCAACGCCGCAAACTACGTTTAAGTCAGTTTTGCCAACGCCAAATGCCAACACTCACTATTCACGATATACGTCTCACCTGACCTTATCGTTGTTGTCAGTGTCAAAATATAGCAAATGACAAAGTAGTAAGTCTTGATAGATTTTTAATTGCCTACAGTGTGATGTGTCTTATTCTAAGATAGTGAAGAACGAGTTTGGAAAGCACGACAAACGGGCAACGGCCTAAAATGGTAAATAATGGAGAATTTTTGTATCCCAATAACTTTCACCACAGTACGTTGAACCTAACAGAAAGAATTTACTCTTAAATAGATCAGAAGTTTTTAATCCTACACCAGGTAATTTTGATTATAGGTTAACAAGTGATCATGGAAAAGTATCCATTGAAAAGGGGAAGTCTGCCAGTGCAACAGACCAATCCAACATCCTATCAATCAGTAAATAAAAAGGTAAAGCTTCTCTCTATTCAGTGAATCTAAAAATATCCGGTAGTTGCTCACCTTGCGACAAGCGTCTTTCCAATTTGCAATATGTGCTCTATCTAAGCTTCCTTTTATGCATTTAAGTAGCCTGTCACATCCTACAATGCGCTACATTACAGATTGTTTACATTTGCTCCTAGGTCAGTACTAGGATTGTAAAGTTTATATTTTGCAAGATTTGCACACCTTGTTTAATTATGACCATTGGTTTTATAAGCTACGCTAACTTATGGCTATGACCCAGTTACTATTTTCCTACACAGAGAAAAATTATATGAAAAATGCAAACACCTATTCTAGTTATAATTATTTCACTTTGCATGTTGCTTGTGCTTACGGTAGTTTTTATCATTCTATGCCTTTGTTGCGACAAATAATAATTTATTTTTACATACTATGTTCTACTATCTTAAAAACAATAAAGATACAATAATGTGGCCTATGATGTGCGTTGGCTTATTAGTATATTATTAGCCATGTAATTAGATAAAAGCAGAGGTAATTAAATGATAGCATTTAAAACTAACTCTGTACACAGGCATTAAACCGAATATATTTTATATAATATATAAATTGTAGTATAATTTTTTTACTAATTGCTTTTATGTTTTATTCAGTCAATTTTATCAGTGCGGATATTCCCCAAGTAGACATAACTAAGTCATTACAATATAAATTGCTGACTAGGGATTACCACACATAAACATTTATATTTTCGTTATATAAGTATACATTACAACGAGATAGTTTTATTTTTTAGGTTATAATGATAGATATGGAATGTTAATTTATTTCCAGGACTATTTTTTCCCTTTGAACCAAGAGCAAGAGTTTTTTGTTGAAAATGTTAAAAATATACTGCTTTTGGAAAACATTTTTAATGTCAATGTATCTTAAAAACAAGACAATGGCTCATAGAAAAACAATCGTCTGATTTACGGCACTTTCCAGCACACTCGAATATGTTATCATTGAAATTTGTAATTTTTTTCCTATTTAGAACTACAAATATTCATTAGCCCTGTTTTACACTTTTGCATTATTATTCATAATTGTTTCGACTGATAACCTTTTCAACTTGCCTATTGGTTACCACGAAAACATGCCGCGTGTGAGAAATTATGTATTTATTAACAATAATGACCTTGGGAAGTTAATCAATATTACTGGGTTTATTTAAGATGGTAAATTATTAATGTAAATAGATTATCTAGTTGGTTGAAAAATATTACTAAGTTTTCTGGATTAAGTTGCTGAAAATTGACATTTTGAGAAAACAAAGGAAATAAAATGTTATTATTACAATAGTCGCCTGTTACATAAAATGATTCGAATGTTTGTATAAACTTTTTAGAAAATATATATTTTCTTATGAGCTTTCGTATTTGTGTTCTTGTATTAATAATACTTAGGTATCACTTTTAATCTTTATTTTAGGTGATATGCTAGCTGTTGATGATATAATTCAATGCTACATATGTAGGTCATGTAGCCCATATTCTAGTAGTAGTTCTTTTCGGCAATATTATCAATTAGACATTTCTTACGTAATAACTATACGGGGTTATCCACAAATGGTGACCAAAAATGAAGCCTCGTATCCTTTGGTGAATTTTGAGAGAAGTCTTTCCTATAAAGTTTTTATATAGGACGCTTCGTTAAAAAGATACAGGGTGTTAAACTTAAAAAAAAACATTTTTAATTTTTTTAAATAATTTAAAATCTAGTAAGTGAAATAATTTTAAATTGGGCACATGTATTTATGTAAACATTGCCCAAAATCTGGGAAAACCGAAAATCAGGCTTTTTTCGAAAAACACAAAAGAGTAATTTGTAGAAAATTGAAAGACGGATCCGGAAATATCATGGTTGTTACCGTAAAGCAGTGGCGTACTATTTTATTTAGAAAAATATGCCACCGATACCCTGTATCTCCGGGGACCGCCTAGCAGGATGTCTTGGCCGATGGATTTCGATCGGCCGAGGTAAGCATCACGGACGCAGGCTGGAACTTGGATGGGTGACCTAAGGTAGGCTCGGGACGTGGCTGTGGCAGCCTACCAGAGGCCTGGGTCGCTCAACACCTTCCGCCTGCGTGTGGTCCCCAATAAAATGGTAATGAGAATAGAGCAATACATTTCTGTAACTCAAGACATGCTATCATACATAAAAAATTGTACGAGACATACATACATACATATATACCCTGTATCTCCGCCACTGGAGCACATACATTTTAGGAAAAGCCCACAGATTTTGGACAATGTTTACATAAATACATGTGCCCAATTTCAAATTATTTCACTTACCAATTTTTAAATTACCTATTTAAAAAAAATTAAAAATATTTTTTGAAGTTGAACACCCTGTATCTGTTACACCTTAAAATGCACCGAAGAATACGAGGTTTCATTTTTGGTCACCATTTGTGAAAATTTTTTGACCAATATAGTAAATTTGGTTGCCTATATTGGGAAATCTTTCCAATTCCAACCTCGCCCAATATTTATCAACGCAGTCTATTCTTATAGATGTATTGAATTGTCTGGCTCCGGCAGGTACCACTGTTTGCTGGAGAGACGTACGAAACACGACCTTGCCTGATGGAATCACGTGCGCTCATAATTCGAGAAATTATGCGATTTTTAGATGGTAGAGACGAGATTTGTGTCTACGCCGAAGGTTCTGTTTGTAAGACTGTTAAGAGTACCGCACATCACCCGCAGCGTAGCGTAATGTCACAAGACAGGTTTCTAATAATACCTTAATAAACGTGCATAAAAAGTTTAGATTTGAGACCAAACGTCAAGATTTATGTAAATTGTTCCTCGAGTCCAGGACAAACTATAGGTAGGTTTAAATCTATTTTTACGCTTGTCGAACAACTTCTGTTAAATCTGATGCTGGACTTATTTTCAATGTGCGGTCGGCCTTAGTGCTGCACTTGCAGAACACTACGTGAAGTTTTTGCGCTGCGCAAACTTTAGTATAAACTTTTAAATTAACTAAAAATAATTAACCACAAAAATATATATTTAGAAAATGAATCTGCGATATTTCATGTACATTTCATTACAAGTACGAAGAGAGTGTAGCGGAGACTGTGCGCAAATTACGTGGAACTTTCGGTGGAAGGAACCTACCCAGAATGAAACTAATATGAATTACAGAAGCAATATAATTCCAGGAACAATTTACACCAAGTGAACAACAAATATAGACTAATTCTATCGTATAATATCTATTCAACTTCTTATTCAGAGGATGTTACGTGACGTTGAGTCAGACAACAAACGTTTAAGACAAACAAACGGACAGGATAAATCAGGCCCGGATCCAGAGACTGGTTTTGGGGGTGGCGCTAAGCACTTCTTTATCATTATTATTATTATTATTGTTGTTGTTGTTGTTGTTATTTTTTTTGATGACGTAAGGTGTAGGTTAGGAAGGGGGACTTGCATTAATATCGACTAACTGCCTGTTGTCGTTTGGAGAAATTGAAGATCTTTAAAAAATGTTGTGCTTTGGGGGTGGCGATCGCCATATCGCCACCCCCTCTGGATCCGGGCCTGGGATAAATACCAAGTGGAAAAAAACAAATGTGTATAAGCGGAATTAAATAAGAGACATTGTAACACTTAACCCATCATTGCTGCAGTCGCATTGGATAGATTTAGTTTATTTCTGTGAAATTAATACCAACGCCATATCATTTAAATGATAAACGATTATCAACAACAGTTGTGCTTTGTTCACGCACGCTAATTGTCACAGCTAACATTGACAGCCGTAGTGCGTTTTCAAATGAACTTTTATAACCTGAATCTGTCATAATTTCCCAGATTTTGTAAATGTTCGTGAAATATTTTATTTCATGGATTATTTTAAAAGTTATATATTTGAAAGGTTTTATATTTTTTTAAAACTCTTTGTCAATTGTAAAGAAATGGGCTTATCTTTCGCCAAAAACCAATCCTATCAAAGTTCTGATTTAGTATTTATCCTTGATGAATATCTGTCACCGACATCACATTTATAGTCTCTGAACAACAACTAACAGTGACATAAGAAAATCATTAATTGTAGATGTTTAAAAATATGTAAAAATTTTAATTGTCACGCGATCAAGAACGCGTTGTGACGTCATTTAGTGCGACCTGTCTAGTCTGCAATATCCATGCCGACGAGACGGAACCCAATCTAAAAAAAAAACGCACGTGCGGAGAGCCTTGAGATTCCAGTCCTTGTCATTCGTCTTCCCGATTCTTGATCGCACTGAATGACGCCACGAATTAGCGCTAGAACACCCGTTTAAAATATTTATACATTCTTTACGATATTTGTTGAGATTTCTTTGGAGTTAACCGCATTTTGACACCCGAACTAGAAAGAAATGATGTTGGCGGCGTGGCGTTTCTCAAATTGATCAGATTAGCGACTATTGTAGCTTACTTAGATACATGTTTGTTTGTTTATTCCTTTTTTTGTACCGGCGTGTTTATAATAATTATATTATCTTGTAGTTTATTTATAATTACTGTACTGTAAAAGAAATAGAAACCCATTTTAATCTACTTTATATACAGGGTGATTCAGTCATAATGTCCTTAATTTTAACCACGTATTTGAAAGGCCTAATAAAGACAGAAAATCGAGAAAAAAAATTTACTAGACGTGTTAAAAAATAAACAAATTATCCCATAACTCGCGTTAACTCGGCGCCCAACTGTACATAATATTTGCTGATTGGGAACGTGCCGGCGCATCACAGGAAACAGCTGATTTCCCAGTCGTCTTACAGCTGGTTACACACAATAAGGCATATGTACTACAAACTAAGTAATTAATTAAACATAATACTAAAAACTCATAAAAAAATATCCATTGGTCTGGGTAAAAAGTCTGTTTTTGTCGTTCACTATTAAAAATGCAATAAAAGCTAGGTTAGTGACCGAATACTGTAGGTCAAGATTCAGTCAACGGTCAGGAGCGGTCCGAAAGAGGGTTTAAAAATGATTTGAAAATATTTTTTTCAGCGTATGCATTTTTTAATATTTTAATCACGTATTCGTATTCTACTAATTTTTCGCTATCTTCCCTTAAAATGAACTACATTATGACTTAATCATCCTGTATATTTACCTTATATTCTAGTCTGAAATTAACGCAGAAAATTTCAAGGCACGCCCCTGCCACGGTAAATTGTTACAGTAGTTCCGATAACAGAACTTTATTGGCTTAATCTTTTCTTGGAATTCTTTATTAACAGATATTCTGCGGGCTGTATTTCTGCTAAACTTTAATACATAATTGACTATTGATGATCTCGGATATTTCTTAAGAAACATAAATATGCACGTTGCGCAGTTGCGTACGCGCTCTGCCCACCTCACCCTATCGCCTACTTCAGAAGGCATTAACATTAGTCACGGACATTATCCAGGATGATCCCATTCATGAACGCCCCCCCATCCGCGCTCTAGCGTAATTCGTACCCCATCGAAGCTCCCGCTCCGCTCCCCCTCCCCCATTCATAACGTTTCGAACCTCGCAACTTGTTGCTGCCGCTACCCGCCGAAGACACCGACCCGAATGACCTGATAACTTATCGATCGCGGCGTGCTGCGGCCTCGCGCATGTCGCCACCATCTCGTTTGTTTCTGTTTGTGCCGTAGCGTCCCAGTCGGTTACGACACGTCGCGATCAACCCGGCCCTAGTTTGTCTAATATGTGACTTGTTTCTTTTTTTCCCGGTGTGCACTCGTCCAGTTCTCCAACGGAAACCACAGGGCGATTTTCGTGGCGTCCCCCGATGAAGACATGATCGACATCAACACGGCAGGTTCGGGCGGAGGCGAGAGGACCACCAGGCTCAACGAGGAGGACGACGGAGTGTCCCACTGTGAGTATCGATAGTGTTTAGTGACATGGCGACTATTTTAAATATTGTTTTGACTATGTTTGTCAAAGTAAGAGTATTAAGTCGATTGGTATTGTTTCACTTTTACAAGAGTGGGGTGTAGTAGAGAGAGAAGCTGCAAGAGTTAACAAAAGCTAGTTGACAGAATGAGCGAGTGCCTGTTCAAGATATTTACAATATTTATGAGATATTTGCCCTCTACTTACGATATCGAAGTCTACAGACTCACAATTCTCTAACAGGGTGTAAAAGGTAATCGGTACTAAGTCTTGTTTGTATCCTGTTATCAAAGGGTTTTGTTCAAACCCTCGAAGCCTTACGAAAATTTTAAATGCACATTAAATAAATACTGAAGTGATTCAGTAATTTAAACAACATTGTTAGTTAAGCTTAGGGTAAATAAATGCCTTGTAAAGCAGTCTAGGTAGTATATGACCCCCCTACATGTTTTCCAGCGAGCGAAGCATGCCCAGAATCTACTGATCAATGCCTTCTTGATGTAATACTGCGCCCAAAGCCTTCTGTAATAGTAACGCTGCAATAAGATTATACCATCGAAGATATCCAAACCGACCGATTCCTCGTAGGCAAACATTGGCCTCGGTGGAAAGAAGGATTCGCGAAACTGGTAAAATTCAGCCCAATCGTGAGGAAGCTATACTGGAACATCTAGAACAAGACTGTGGTACAAGCACAAGACAAGTATCCAGGCAAATGCAAGTTTCTCACAGTCTTGTGTGGAATGTAGCTCATGAAAATCTTTTATACCCTTTTCACCATCAACCCGTGCAAGATTTGAATGACCCTGGACTTTTGTCAATGGTACATTAATATTTCCAGGCATGACTTAAATTTCCTAATGAATATACTTTTCACCGATGAAACAAATTTTCCTAGAGTAGATGCAGCAAACCTTCATAATGTTCATTCATGGTCGGAAGAAAATACTCATGAAATATTTGTTTCAAGACATCAACATAATTTCAGTTTCAACGTTTGGATGGGAATTGTAGGAAATACTCTAGTAGGTCCTTTTATTCTTCCATACAGGCTTGGAGCGGTCGAGTATCAGATTTTTGAACGAAAATCTTCCAACATTTCTTGAGGATGTACCCCTCGCTACATGTCAGGTTATGTGGTATATGCACGAGGGGGCACTTGCCGTTAGAGAATGGTTAAATTTAAATTACACGAATCGCTGGATTGGTCGTGTTCGTGATGCCCCTGTTTATTGGCCTGCACGTTCACCTGACCTAACGCCTATGGATGTATTTTTGTGGGGACACATAAAAAGTATTGTTTATGCCACTCCTGTTGCCTCCTTAGAAGAACTACGCTTAAGAATATTTCAGGCAGCAGATGACCTTCGCAATAACCAAGACCTGTTTGTGCGAGTCCGTTATAACTCCAACAGACGTATTAGGTTATGCTCGCAGCAAAATGGAAATTATTTCGAGAATATTCTTTAAATTTAATTTTGCATTTCTTGTTTTTCGTTTGTATTAAATTTTATTTCAGATAAATAACTTTACCTCATACATGTCCCATAGTCATAAGTTATCAAAAATTAATAGCAAATTATTCTTAATGTTATTATTAAATTACCAGCTTATTGACAGAAAGTGTCAATTTGTTAATATGATAAATAACAATTTATTTGCTATGACATCCGCCTACTTTATTTTTACAAATTTTCGCAATTACCCCCTTTAGTAAACGATAACGCATCTAATTTTTTTACTAGAAAACTATCGGTTTCATCGAAAAATTACAAAAGGTAAAAAAGTTGCGCAATAAATCAGTCTTCCCAATAAATATTTTTAAATAAATAATTTGCTTCATATAAAAATTTCTAATAAAATATTGCAATGGAGTTGATTGTTTCACTCCTTTATAAAATACGCCAATGATCGAACAAATATTGGAAAGTTGTCTCTTTATTAGTAGGATGCTCATACCAAGTTTCGTGTCTCTAGCATTCCTCATGTTAAAGAAACAAATTAAAATGTGAATTTCAATCCCCTCCTTTAAGAGGGTATATCGCCTCAGGGTACTTTCATATAAGGTATTTTTACTTCAATCCTCTTACTTTTGGCTCTACATTCACTGGTACCATTTTTGCTACTTCATTTAAAAACGCCCTGTATAGTATCTCTTCTCTGCATCTGTTCCAAAATTGAGATTTACTGAGACGAAACCAACGGAGATATTTGAAGTTCCAACAGAAATTACGAATCTTAGATTTCAGATAAAGATATAGTAATTCCTCTTCTGTTTGTAAATAATTCAGGGCATTTGTCTTCCTCTAGTCGGCTTCTAAGTATAGGTAAGCTTTCTATAACAGTCTATATTGCCTTTCGTCTTTCTCCTTCTATAACGACGTATATTTTAATGATAATTATTATTATCAATTTTCTAAACGGTTGTGGAAGCATGGTGGTTTACCTCAAAGGCTAAAACGACGATAACACAATACAATAGCTAGAAATTAATAAAAATAATATCTGAGGGATAAATTAACACCAATCCACCAAAAACTCGAACAGAAACTTAATTTTTTTAATTTCCAAAAAATTAAGGGCGCCAAATTAATATTTATCGAGGTGCAAATTTTCTAATTACGGCCCTGATCATCCCAGAAAAATCACATATCTCAGTAAGCAATCAAGACATGCAGTAGTATATCAACAAGTCATTGAGATGCTACTGTCTGCCCATTGCTTACCTATTTATTGATTATTTTACTTACTAATTCGTCTGTAAATTGTTATCCACCATTTACATTTGGCTTATCTGTTTATTGTTTGTAGCTCGTCTCTCTTGGACAAATAAATAATTAGTATAAAGCCATTTATTATTCAATTAGTTGTACCAATTGTTCCCGCTTAAGAAATAAAAATATTTTATTTTATAAAAACTTTATTTCTCTGACGAAACTAAAATGCTGTCGCAACGTCGTTGTACACCCCGTATATTTAACTTTGATTTTAGTAGCGAAATTTTTTTTAATTCGGTAGAAATCCTGGTACGAAATTCCGTTATTTTTTCTTCAACTTCATAAAGCGTTAAACTCCGCAGCGCGTTGTTTATTCGCCTTTAAGCGTTGGAGCGATAAGTTATCATTTTTATTACCGTCTCTGTTTACTGGTGCAGGCAGTCAGTGGAAATTTGTTTCTGGGTGATTTCACGGTACAATTTTGTACCGAAAGCGCAATCAGTCCAGTCGCCAAGCGAATTCGTTTGACATTTAGCGTTTGTGCTATTAATATTTTAATATGCGGTAGTGCGCAAAAAAATCTTTGGAAATCCCAATGGAACCAGGTAAGATTAGCTTAATTCTTGCAGAGATGTCGACAGACAGTGTTGGCAATTCTTTTCTTTCTTCTGGTGTGGCCGTCATGTCATCGGAAAGTGTGAAGAAATCGGTTTTGTGTTTTGGATCTCCATTGCGGAATAAATTGCACTTTGACAGTTAAGTTTTTGTTTTAAGAAATAAGCAACTGTTTGTTTTGAGTAAAAAGAAGTTTATTATTTTGTTATTAATAAATTACTTGTGCCAACTTTTCGACATTCTCCTTTCGGGCAAGGATACAAAGGTGTTAAAAACCTTGGGAAAAGACAGCACACAGTTAAATTGATTAAATCTTTGAACTTTAAAGTGAAATTAGAGATGTTAGACTTGCTTTTCCTTTAACAAAGTGTTCTACAAACTGCATCTATCAGTTTTCTGAGTACAAGAAAATGACGGCCTTACTTTGCCAAAACATCTGACCCTATGCAACACTTCTGATTTTTTGAGCAATGTTTCGTATATAAGTATGTACAAGCCCCTGTATATTAGTTGAATCATGATTCTTGTATTGAATACATTGATGTTTCTGTTGTTCTAGGAAATGTTTAGGCAAACATGTTATTTACCTTAAATTATTATTATTATATCATGTTATTTAAACTGCTGAAAATTTAATTTCGAGTGATTAATCGGAAACAATATAGACAGTAATTTTCAACGGAATGTCTAAAATTTTAGAGGAAACCTACGATGTAAATTAAATGTTTTTATCGAAGTTAGTTAATTTGTCTGTCATTCTAAGGATTTAGAACAAGGTTATCAGCAATAAAAAGTGTTAACAATCGTCAATTTGAAATGCTACGTTTTTAGGAAAAAATAGTATTTGTTTTTTGATTATTTAGTCTGAAATTTTATTCCAAGATTTTAAGCACAATAAAGTTTTTCCTTGATTATACATTTTTAAATACGAGACATATCTACAAAGTAAGAGTAGGTACTCAATTTTTTTAAAAATCTATATTTATGAAAAATTTAGATTTTCAGATATGTAGTCGCCTTCAACCTGAATGCAATTTGTGAGCAGAGGGATCAATTTTATATTGAATTTTTGTAAACAAAGAGTATCAATGGTTTTATATGTCAATTGTTATTTTTCAATTTTTTTCACGCTTGATAAAAATTATTTTAATTAATATTTGCTGTTTAAAAAGAATGAAATTATATTTCTTTTAAAATAATTATTTTACTGTACATACACATTTTATAATGAACGATTTTTTATTTGACTGATTTCTTATGTTTGTCATATTATATCCGCCATTTTGTATTTCATAACCTTTAAATTCTTAATCTACGACTCGGAAAATCCCTATTTACAAAATTTCTCAACTCCTAATATGGCTATATTAAATCCTTCACATTGAGTTTTATAATTTTTACCCGAAATTCGTAATCAGCGACCACAAACACCCCCGAGTAACAAATTTCAGATCGATTACTAAAGATTTTTATTTTTGGCCAGCTTTTTGGGATTCTGCCCCACTATGCGTCTGTCGAAAACCTTTATCCACCCATAAACACCTTCAGAGAAGAGAACATATGAAAATCGCAAGGTGACAGGTGCTGTGAGTGGGGTGGTTGATGATGTTCCAACCGGATAAATCTGCATTGTCATGCAACAAGCACACTCCCTTTTGTTCTGTATCTCCGTAGCGTTTTCAGTGTTTCATAGTACCGCGCACCATTAATTGTTTTCCCCTGTGGCATAAAGTCAATGGGGAAAATCCCTTTCATTGATGGTAAAGACGGATGTCGCCACTGCATTGATTGTCTTTTCGATTCGGAATTGTTCACATGACGGAAATCAAAATAACGGCATTTTAACACGTCACAACAACAACAGTTTTCAACTGACTGAAACAAATGAGGGCGCATTCTGCTCACAACACCTTGGTCTTGAATGCAGTGGTGACAACTTTGTCGACATCAAAAACCACAGAACGTCAGTCTCGGTACTCTTACTTTGTGGATATGCCTCGTACTTTGAAGTTGTTTTTTAGGGTAGAAGAGCATATATTTTATAAAAAGTTTTAGACTATATTCGAATTAGATTAATATTTTTTAAGTTGCGTAAAAGCAATTAATGCCTTCCCTTTTTAATATGAAATGGACTTAGTTGCTGAAATAACAAATGAAGCCTGAATTTATAATACGCCTACTTTTAAATATATTTAAATTTCTTTATTGCAATCTTTTTTCTTTTTCAGATTCTGTTTCATATGCTGGCACGCAAGGTGAGTGAAAAACATTCACTATTATATGTTTTTCAAAAATTACTTTTAACTTTTTGTTGTCTAGTGAGTTTAGTTGTTATTTAATAATCAAAGATTAACAATTCTGCTTTTTTTCATTACATTTATATATTGTATACATAAAAAACAATATTTCCATATGTTAAAACGACAATTCTGGATCTAAAATATTCAAATTTAAAAACTTCAAATAATTATTCAAACCTGGCTCAAATCTGAATGAATTTCGCTTTGAAACAACCAAAATGTTCATATTATTTTCAACAGCATTCAGATATCTTTAGGACATTCGTTAATATTGCTAATGGCTGCATATAACGTAATATACTTAATAAAAATGCATTTTTTTATATTTGCAGAATCTGCAGCTGACATCCCCGGTATCGGCCAATATGAAGACTTTCACACAATCGACTGGCAAAGAGACATCGCCAGAGACCGCATGCGACACAGGTATTAAAAGAACTTGATTTTCTCTCACTCTAGCGTAATTTTCTTTCATTTGCACAGCGTTGACGACCTCGCAGAATTATCCTTACGATCGGTAATTATCAAGCTTTGGTCGTTTCAGGTATATCGTGAAGAAAAAACAAGACTCGTTCTGGAACCTGATCGAAGGCGCGCACGACGCCTGGTCGGGATGGCTGTGCGTGCTCCTCGTAGGCCTGTTCACGGGGGCCGTCGCCGGTGTCATAGACATAGGCGCCAGCTGGATGACCGACTTGAAGTTCGGCATATGCCCGCAGGCGTTCTGGTTGAACCGGGAGCAGTGCTGTTGGTCCTCGAATGAGACCAGCTTTGAAGCTGGCAACTGCTCGCAGGTAATAAACTAGTCACAAAAAATAGAGGATAAAAAACATCCTAAATTTTTAGGTAAAGGCTGAAACTTGGCGTAAAGTGGTCGTAGAGCAATGTAAAAAATTGAAGCTAGAGGTTCTCTAGTTTCAGGATATGGAAATCAAAATTTTTATTGTTAACCACCTTTAAGGAATCATAAAAAAATAAATTTCAAAATTTTTGCTCCCCTTTCCGAAGGTTCACGGGTTTCAATAAATTCTTTGACAATTCCACCTATTGGCTCTTTTAGTGTCAATCATCCTCTTTAATTTGATGATTTGTCGCCGAGTTATCGTTCAAAGCAAACATTACTTTTTTGGCATTGATAATTACTCGGGAACTAATGATCATATAAAAAATTTGAGCAGGGTTTTGAAAACTCCAAAAGATCTTCTATAAGACGTTCTTATAGTTTTTTGATAAAACATTTTTTCGATGCAAGAAATTTGATTAAAAAAAGTTTAAAAAATTGTATATTTGAGTATTTTCGCTAAACTTGAGATAACTTTACAAATAATGAATATACTAAGAATATTTTCGGTTCTTTTAAACCTCAAACTGTCCCAAAGAAACCTTCAAGAGTTGAAACAGCTGCGATTTTTCTTTCATTGTGATCCAAATGATTGAAATTGTCCTTTTTTTAGGTTAGAATAAATATTGTTTAAGCATTGTTATTAATTTTCCTCAATTTTTGTTGAAATTACAATCCTTTAATATGCCACGATAATCACTAATCCCTACCTACAATGTTTATCTTGATCTTTTTTTTTCAGTGGCTGACCTGGGCGGAAGTCCTGGGCCAGGCAAAGACGGGGGCAGGTTCCTACATCATATCCTATCTATTCTACATAGTCTGGGCACTTCTATTCGCGGCTCTATCAGCGTCCCTTGTGCGAATGTTCGCCCCATACGCTTGTGGGTCTGGTATTCCAGAAGTAAGTGAATTAAAATTACATAATTTAACTGCAGCACGCGAAAATCACGTTTCCAACGCGAGTTTAATCGAAACCTATTCAATCTACTAAATAATGTTAAGTGTGGGCAAGGCTGTGACCAAGGTTCTTCCGGGTGAAGTGTGCATTTACCGTTTTAATGTTTAGTTTGTGTAAAATATCTGTTTTAACAGACTTCACTCGTTATCAACGCCAGAGAAAGGATATGCTCAAAAACTGTACAAACAGTATCTTCAAACGTGTCAGGCGTATAACAACTTTTTTTAATTGTGTTAGTTTTCAGAGACCAATTGTTTTTTATTCAGTATTCCAGTACTCAAAAAATATTAAGATTTTTCTTATTAATCCTCATCCGATCGGACACTGTTAAAGAACTGCATATTTTCGCGGCATCGCTCATCAAGTAATTTTGACACTGGCTCATAGTGTACGATTCAGGATGTAGATGACTCAAGCCTTATACTCTACTCTCTCTCTTCCAGATCAAAACCATCCTCAGCGGTTTCATCATCAGGGGTTACTTGGGCAAATGGACCCTGATAATAAAGTGCGTGGGTCTGATACTGTCCGTATCCGCTGGCCTAAGTTTAGGGAAGGAAGGCCCCATGGTACACATCGCGTGCGCGATAGGTATGTTTTAAGCATTTTAACGCCAATATAACCCCGTTGAATGGTAGCGGAGGTGATAACAGACGTAACGTGATACTCTATCGGCTTAAATTGTCACGATATATCTAATTAATTGCGGAGAATTTTGTAATGGCCTTTTATGGTGTTATCGAACTGTTTTTTATGATGCAAAGAAAAAAAAACGTTTTTCCTTTATAAACTTTCAAATGCATATGATTTTGTTCCCGATTGCGTTTATATTGCGGTTTTTTATATCACTATGAAGTAAATGATGTGAATTGATAAATGCAAGGGACCCTAAATCTAGGAATGGTACAGTAAAAATAACTTGAATCGATATCAGCAATAGAAAGTAATCGTTATATAGCGCAAAGGCAAAGTGTACTTGTTTGTTGTTTTACCGATATTATCGTAATAATACTCGGAATATTTGTAATAGTAAATAAACGATTTTGTAAAAAATTAGTCATACCAGAATGAAATTCCAAATATTTATCTTATCTGTAGCTATCTACAGATAACAATTAATATGCGTTTTATAGAATTTTAATCGAAGTTAAATATATACATACGATTTAGAAAAGAAAAATATGTATTTCTCTTTCAGAATATAGACTTAAGTATTTCCAAAAAATAATTACAAATCTGAAAAAAAAAATAAATTTTAAACCAAACACTACTCATTATTTTTCCGATTCTGATTAATTCTATGTTGACGGGTTCCAATTAATTAATTCTCGGATTTATTTGTTAGGAACCATTCGATGTACCTAGATTTAAAAATTGCATTTTATAAATATCACAATTTCTAACACCTAAACTTAATATCGATTACGATGAGTATCCACGTGTATTTTTTAAATTGCACATCAAATTTTATTTCGACCAGAGTACTACAGCAATAACCATTGTAGGTAATATTTTTTCATATCTATTTCCCAAGTACGGGAGAAATGAAGCGAAGAAAAGGGAAATTCTCTCGGCGTCAGCGGCTGCCGGAGTCTCGGTTGCTTTCGGAGCCCCAATTGGAGGAGTCCTCTTCAGCTTAGAGGAGGTAAGGTGCATGGAATATTTGTCGTTTTACTTATTTGTTACGTATCCGTCGCTAATTTGTTGAAAATTCACAAGTTTTTATAGTAAAGTAAAAACGTATAGTGGCTAGCTATGGACAATACTTTCAGTAACATGTTTTTTTACCACGTTCTTTAAACAAAGCATTAATTTACATGAAAACACAGCCCTATATATATTTTAAACAAAAACTTTTCTCGTAAAATTTACCTATAGATTACTTTTAATGGAAGAAAATATTTTTTTTATAAATTAATTTCATACATATATGTTCGTAGCATCACTAAACACTAATTAGACCGCACGAAGGCGGTTTCCACCCCATTACGCCGCACCCTTGTATAAAAATAAAACAAAAGCCGTCACACCTCTAATTATCTTTTATCCGTCGTTAAGGTCAGCTATTATTTCCCCCTGAAAACGCTATGGAGGTCGTTCTTCTGCGCCCTCGTGGCCGCCTTCATCCTGAGGAGCATCAACCCGTTCGGGAACGAACACTCCGTCCTCTTCTACGTCGAATACAACAAGCCGTGGATCTTCTTCGAGCTGATCCCCTTCATCGGACTGGGGATTATAGGGGTAAGTCGCATGCTCGTTTAGCTGCCGCTTTGTCAGATCGAGCAGGTGGGATTAGAACAACAAAAACTCTCTTAAGTGGATTAATATGGATGGCGATTGAATTTGATGAAAAACATACGATTTTTTTAGTTTCTGTTATCGATTTAGACGATTCCACTCCTTTCAGGGCGTCATCGCGACGATATTCATCAAGGCCAACTTGTGCTGGTGCCGATACAGGAAGTTTTCGAAACTGGGCCAATATCCGGTGACGGAGGTCCTCGTCGTTACCGTAATAACGGCGATTATCGCATACCCCAACCCCTACACGAGGATGAACACCAGCCAGCTGATCTATCTGCTGTTCAGCCAGTGTGGAATATCCAATTCAGACGATCTATGGTAAGCGTCTGCTTCTTAATTACGTTAATGTCCTACCAGTCTGTTATTTTGCAATAACCTCCCTATTTTGAGATGAATTAAATTCTAGTTAAACGTAATAAAAATCAAATTACATAACAAACTAGTAGACATTAAATATTAAGGGCGCCGAGGGTGTTATAGGATAATAATTTCCTCAGAAAGTACACTGTCAGCCACAACGCATTATTATTCCTATAACATAACCTCACAATTTATATTATTTTTCTTCAGGAGTACTTTAAGTACTTCATTCCAAATGTTTCTTTTATCGTCAAAGTAACGTCTTTTAAAGATCGGAATCGGTGCCTAACGGCAAAAAAAACGACTCACCGTGGCCCGATCGGCCGGGAAAACGCGTCAAATAACAAAATTTATTTTATTTTTGTCTCCATCTCCGTCTAAATATCATTTCGGGTATCTCTCTCGCACCGATAAAAGTCAATTTTCGGCGAGGTCTCTTTTTAAAGTGGAAATTTCACATAGAAGGCGCAAATAGATCGCGTTCAGAATACGACACTGGGATAAAGGAAGGACCGAGGGGCCCTTCGGGCCTCTAAGCAGGCCGCTTCGCTGCTCGCGAGGTAAGCCTTTGATATGGCAAGTCGCCTCTTTTTTGCGGCCGAGTGTAGGAGCGAGAATAACCTACAGCTTTTAATATATAAGGATCCTCATTACCTTTCAAGACGAAAAACTTTACAGATTTTATCAATATCGGTGTTTTTTTTTTCTACCTAGCGACTACAACAGGAACTTCACCGACGTCAACTCGGCGATAGAGATCGCGGCCGCCGGCCAGGGCGTCCACCGAGCCGTCTGGCTGCTGATCCTCGCCCTCATCCTGAAGCTCTTCATGACCATCTTCACCTTCGGCATGAAGGTGCCGTGCGGCCTGTTCATCCCGTCCCTCTGTCTGGGCGCCATCGTCGGCCGCGTCGTCGGCATCGGCATGGAACAGCTCGCCTACAACTACCCCAAGTTCTGGCTGTTCAGCGGGGAGTGCTCCACCGGCGACGACTGCATCACGCCGGGGCTGTACGCCATGGTGGGGGCGGCGGCGGTGCTCGGCGGCGTCACCCGCATGACGGTATCGCTGGTGGTGATCATGTTCGAGCTGACGGGCGGCGTGAGGTATATCGTGCCGCTGATGGCCGCCGCCATGGCGAGCAAGTGGGTGGGCGACGCTCTGGGCAGGCAGGGCATCTACGACGCCCACATAGCCCTCAACGGGTACCCCTTCCTCGACTCCAAGGACGAGTTCCAGCACACCTCTCTGGCGGCGGACGTGATGCAGCCGAAGTGAGTGTACATATTTTTATTTCTGTTTATAAATTGATATGGTGTTGTCCTTGTTCACGCTAAAGCTAAAGCCCAGTTTGACAGCAATTAATTAACTGAAAACGATATTTAAAAATTAAAGTAAGGGCTTCTGTCAGTTAATTGTCGATTATTTTCATAGAAGAGGGTCAAATTAACTTGCCATTACAGTATTTAAGATATCTAAGGAGTTCTAAGGATATAACGCACCGGGGGGCGAGTATACCGAATGCGTCATTATCCTTTAACACCCGTGATGCCTTAACGTTTAATATCCAACTAATTATTTAATTCGGAATGTTTTATACATCAAAAACAGCCATTTGACATTTAGGTCGGTTTATTTCATCCGCTAATAAATTTATTTGCCGGTTAAATCTATGTCCGTTGATAAAAAAACATTTACATGTTACATTTACTTGACATTGAAAAAAATTCGTACACACAACCGAGTTGGGGAGCTGCCCAGTAACGGCGTAGACAAGAGAGACCGAATGTAACTCAACAATAGTATGGGATTTTAGTTGTACATCTTAGTAACAGATGTCACAATATTTCCCACATCATTTCAATAGCTAACTGTAATGCTAACTAACTCACTTCGAATTGTAAAAATGAAGTTCTCTTAAAAAGTGTAATATATCACTTCACCAGTTTTAGCCGAAAAACAAAACTGAAACTGAAGGGTGTATGCTTTACTTCGCTGTATTTTCAGGCGCAACGAAACGTTGAGTGTAATCACGCAGGACTCTATGACTGTAGATGACATAGAAGCGCTATTAAAAGAAACCGAGCACAACGGATATCCGGTGGTGGTGTCCAAGAAATCGCAATACCTGGTCGGTTTTGTACTGCGAAGGGATTTGAATCTGGCTATCGGTAAGTATTTTAAATTTTACGTCATCGACAAATTTCTACGACTTTTTTAGACTCAGTATTGTTTGGAGCCCGTAAATGTTGTCTCGTGAAAAAATTTTCAAATTTTTTCCACGCAATGTATATATGTATATAAATTAAATTCTCGTTTCCAGCTAATGCTAAGCGAATGGTGGACGGTATCTGCGGCCAGTCGCTAGTGCTTTTTACTACGGGCAACACGCCTCAGACGCTGGGACCGCCACCGTTGAAACTGAAGAAGATCTTGGATATGGCCCCCATCACAATAACGGATCAGACCCCTATGGAGACAGTCGTAGATATGTTCAGAAAATTGGGACTGAGACAGACACTAGTCACGCATAACGGGTAAGTCAAAATCCATTAAAATTAATTCTGGTAATAAGTTTGCAATAGCAATGGAGTAGGGCGACGTTAATTTATAGAGGACATTTCATACATCAACACTTTATCAGTAACATTCCTCGTCCATGCAAAACAATCTAGTTTGTGCATTTGCGCGTAACTCTCGATAAATGTTATGTCATTAAACGATATTGGCACTTATAATTATTATTTTTAGGAGATTATTGGGTGTGATAACGAAAAAGGATGTGTTGAGGCACATCAAACAAATGGATAACGAGGATCCAAACTCTGTTTTATTCAACTAATTGTATTATTTTATCTAGGTAATTTAAGTTATAACACTGTATAAATTCAGTTAATTGTATATTACTTTGTTACTATCTAAGTAAGTAAATATTTGTCCAGCTCCTATTTATTTCATTTTATTTAATCGTTGACGTTAATTTAACGTGTAAATGTCTTCCCCCCGCCCTTAAAAATGTAATTTAGTTGGCTTGATTGACTAGGTGGACACACTGATGATGAATTTGTATATTTATGTATGTCAGATCCCTATTATGCTCAGATGATATATTGTATGTAATTAAATAAAGGATTTTTATAAATACATACCAGTCCATTCAGTTTATTTCGGCCCAGGGGTTCCATAATTTCGCTTAGAGTATACAAGGTGTTAGAAGTTTGACCGCTTTGATTTTAGCAGACGATAGAATACATTAAAATAAACAAAAAAAAACTTATATGACATGGGTCCTAAAGTCAACCATTTCCGAGAAAAAAATTATCAAAATCTCCAATGTACAAAAGTTCGATTAATTAAGGCATATTGACATAACTGCATGCATAGAATATCATAAAATAAAATGTTTATCTCTTTTTTTGAACTTCTTTATGCTTAATTCTAAAAAATAATTAGCGTTGTAATAAATTTAAAATTCGATAAAATTCCAACAATACGCAATTCAGTTGGCGTTTTCTAGCGAGTGCGTGCATCGAAAATGGTAGTGGACATTTTGAGCATAGTTGTAATTTGTTTTGTACTTGTGCGATTAAAAATTACTGAATTTTGCTTTTTGGTAAGTACCTAAATTATTTTTAATACGTATGATTATTTGGACGACGTGAATCTTCGGATACTTTAATTACATATTTTTCAAATTCATCATTTGATTAAAAGTTCCTGTTTTAAGAGATTCATAATTATTAAAAGCTAAAATTTAAGCACAACACTATCTTCGTACTACAAAGTCGATACATATTATTTTATTTATTTAAAAACTGGAAAACAATTGTCTTGAAAGTTTTCTAAATGTTTCACAATAATAGTTGTTTACATTTTTTCCGTAGGACAAGTCTGCCACGTGCACATGTAGCATCAGCTGTGTAGCGTTAGGTTAAGCGCTGTTGTCACGTTGTGATGATATCCCCCAATATTAATACTCGCTGTATTTTAATCTTACTTAACTTAATCTTACGCCCTTGTATATATAACTTTGTTCATTTATAAGTACTTTATCTCATGCTGAAATAATGGCAGTCAAATTTCTTACACCCTGTATTTTAGCTTCACTCAGATCAATTGTTTATGTTCTGGTTTAACAGAAAGTATCTCCAACTCGGAGAAACAGAAATAATCAAAATATCTAAGATCTAGTTTCTTTAGGGATATACTTAAATAGTTTTTGAAATTGAGGGTAAGTTTTAAAATTGGTTTAATTTGAGGATATGTGGATGTGGTGTTTAGTGAATAAAAATTTAAAACTACAGTTTCCCAAAAATAGTTACAATAAAAATGTTGAATCTTATCGTTTTTTGAAGAAAATTAAGATTCAATCATGCAACGGGAAAATAATCGTTGTTAGTATGGTCCTGAGTACGGATCCCTTTGAACGTGACGCAGATTAGTGTTGACTGAATAAGAGGAGTATCCATTTTCGTACATTTTTAAAGCAAAAAGAACGTTTTTTATCAGAAAATCAAGTATTTAACGATGTTATTCTTTTCCTCGTTATTAGAATACATAAAAAAAATAATTTCAAATGCTCCATACGACCGCACAAAAAAGTATTAAAAGTGGATAGTACGTGATAAAATCAACAAAGTTGAGAAATCGTGTTTTTGTCAAACCACGCGCCTGTACCGTTATTTTACTCGCAGGTGCAAGAAGCCGATGCTCCTTGTGCGACCGAATTCTCGGTGTGCGATGAATTAGAATAAAGCTGTCGTTTGTTTTCTGGTCAGTATCTTACTCTCATACTTGAGCTTTATAAGAATATGGTTGCACTTCTTATTCACTATAAACGTCACATAATCATTATTATCGTTCATTAACCTGTATAAAGTAACAATTCTAATTGTTCCGAGAAATTGATAGTAAACGACAATTGTGTCGCTAGACCCAACGAGAACTTGCGATATTTTAAAGTGGCCTAGATTTCATGCAAACAAGACGAGATAAACGATTTGTAAATAAAAATTTAAATATTGCAAACAGGCAGTTAACTCTATGAATTAGCAATGAGATTTGGACTTTCAAAGTTGTTTACAGATTTCATACCGATAATTTACTGAGGATTGAATGCTTTAATGAAAGTAGATATTGATATAAAAGTTGTCCTTGCGCCCGCGTTTTTTTTTTGGATGTGTAGTCGTTCCAGAAAATTCTGCAAATGGAAAAATTAAGAAGCAAAACTCTAAACATCAACATGTTTTAGTCAATATTATTGACTAAAATGGTGGGAATTCTTTCCCAAAATAAAACTTATTGTTAAGTCAACTATGTATTTATAAAAAAAAATGGCAAATCGCCAACTTGTCACATTGTGAAATATACATATCTACAGGCTATTGAGATATATCTTATTTTTTATTTTCAGATTATTTCAGTCTATTTGTAATATAAAGTGTAACTAAATTGCAAATTAGTTGTTGAATTTAAATGACAGTATTATGGTTTGCTAGTTGTTTTAGTTTTAGAGTAAATATTTTTCAATTATTGTTGGTTCTACAGGAGTATTTTAATTTTTTCTTCCTATGTATTTTATAGTACTTGCAGGTAGATAAATAGTACTGTAGTTTTCAAAATACAGAAAAAAAATAGAAAAATGAAATTTAAGTTATTGTTAAAACTATTATCGGATTATTACAATAGCCTGACATGCCTGCAAAGTAAGTACCATGAGTAAGCAATTTAAAAATAATTTAACTGCGTCCAATTGCATTGAAACAAACTTGCCGACGATTAACTATGGTATATTTGCTTTATATTAGTGTTAAAAATGCCATATTATTATTTTTCCTATCTATACTTTCGTCTACAGTTAGTTACAATTTTAAATGGGTTCTTAGGTACATATTTCTGCTAAAATAAGCGAAATTGTTTATTATCGATCACACACATCGGAATTATTACTCACACTGAATACGAAAATTAGGTCACATAATAAAAATAGGTACCCAATACGGTCGCTGTAACAGTTGATTTCTTTTATACATTTGACTTTCTTAATATGTATTTTGCACCGAAGAAACACTTTATAAGGGGTCGCAAAAAAAGCGCCAACTGTAATTCTGAATAGAGGTGCCGGACACTACTGACGTACCCTGTACCCAACACATCGTAAATCATATCATAAAAACGGTTAAAAATTGTATTAATTTGATTAGCTCAGCTCGGGTACAATAACCAACGAAACGAACCCCTCACATCTCCGTTAAATATACGCACCAAAGTGTCGAGCTTCAGCTATAACTTAATAGAAGAACAAATACAATATCTAACTGTGACAACGAAAGGTTATCAAATCAACAATGACTGGTTATAACTTATTTAATTTATTAGATCGCTGGTCATTAAGGCTTTATCAACTTATACAGGGTGTACCGTTTATACTTAAAAAAAAGGGGACTGAGCTTCTCTTGGAAAAATAGTGGGGGTAGTTTATAAACGTTAAAGTGGTTGAATTATTTAAAGAATCGCTTCCGGCACTTGATGTACATGCAGTGGGGAAAATTTTTTTGCTAACAACTGATTTATGAGTTATGAAACTGCTCAATACAGCCTTCAGCTACCGTTGAAAATTTCCATCCGTTATATATTTTTAAAATAGTGATATCAGCTACTGAATTTATTAATAGCTGAAGTTCTACGGAAACAATGTCCGGTATATTCGTGAGCATCCTTCAATTTGAGAAACGCAGCAACTTGTTTTGGCATTTTCCCAAATGTATGAATTCCTATTAATTGGTTATATGATTTACCATTTGAATATTTACAAAATATATATATTACTATCTATTTGTGTAGGTCTTGTTGCGATATATGTCTAAAAATTCGCTTGCTATAAAGGATATTTTTTTCTTTGTGTTTGTAGTTGGTAGAGTGATCTTATTCGATTGTCGTTTCAAGAATGCTTTTAATTTTAGATAATTTTAGATCATAATGAAGAAGATTTCATACTTTTGCTTCATTTAGAAAAATATACCAATAGTACATTTTCTGAAAAAGACAATATTATTCTCAGCCCGATAATCAATAAATGTTTTATATGTTTGCTGATATATCTTCTTCGATTTCTCAGGTAATAAATTCCACTCTAATTGCTTTGCCGATTCAATAATTTCTGGCGGAGTTAATGTGAATTCTTCTATCTCAAATAATAGACAGTTATTTTTATGGATTTAAATAGGAACAATATGGCGATTAGCAACCACAGAAACCCGATGAAATTATTATTATTCATGAAAGAAGTATTTAACTTGTCAGTAAAGTAGATTTAATACCTTGCTTGCTTTAATAGACTCGGCTGCGCCTCGTCCGCGGTATTAAATCTTGTACTTTACTGTTAAATTTACTTCGGTTTTAACTATAAACGGGCCACTCTGTATAATTAACACTACCAAATGAGTATAGAGTACAACGGATGAGGTAATTCTCCAGACACTATATGATTCATCAAAATTAATTCAAAAGATATCGCAGGACAATACATGTTATTGAATAATGCCTCCACCTTTGACCCGCTCGGAAACAATTGAACAAGACCTGTGTGCGGCCCAATGTTGGCACATAACCAGGGAACCAGCTTCTATATTTACACAAACATTTGACCTATCCACCTCACCAGCGGGGGATAAGCATAACCCAGATTACAGACTTATTAACTCGCGCGATAAAGCCTTATCAGTCTACAAGTGCTAACTTTGAAAAATTACGACCGCGGTCATTGGCAACTGGTCTTATTTGTGAGCCAACTTACTTCTGGTTCGGCGCTCTGGCGAGCTGCGTAGATACCTAGTTTTTCCTCCAGTTGATCCGGCGACTAGGTAACCACAACAATTCAGTGATTCAGTGCAAGGCCTCCGATCGTCCTTTGTCGTTGAATCTACTATGTTGGTGAGTGTGCTTTTACAAATAAGGAGTCATTTTAATTGTACCCTCGACAATTATCGTTGCTAATGATTGGTTTAATTACGCGTACCTTCGACATCCCATAAGGTGAATCATTCCACTGTAATCAAACAGCTTTTGCGGTATGAAAATTAGTATTGATTTTTTTTTTCAATTTTCTATCTATTTGAATCCCACCGAATTATATTTTGAGTTAAAAAAGGAAAGGATATGTAAATTGTTTGTCTTGATAAGAGATTGAATGATATTTTCGGCACGAAATAAGAGATTCCGATGTTACTTCTTTCCAATGTTGCTGTTAGCAGAAAATAAAGAATAAAGAAGAAACGGAATTTGTAATCAAAATAAAAAAACGAGGTCGTATAAATTTAGCGTTTATTTCGTGGAATATTTCAAGAATCCGAAGGAAAATGATACTGCGAATCTTGCCAACAAATTCTTATGAGGAGACAGATTAATTAAAATATCACGACTGGAAAGTAACCACATTGCAAGTAGCCAAAAAGGCAGAATAATATTAGGAATATGCAATTCAGTAAACCAAAGTTATTAGGGTCCCTATTGTTTATAAAATAATACTGATATTATTTTTGTTAATGTTCCATATTTATTTCCTGTGTGTGCTATCCTGAAGTGCTAGAATCAACATTTTGTCAGTTTTGGTCAATATTAGGAAACGCTACATTTTGCATAGAGTTGCAACAGCTTATTCTGGGCAAAATGTAGTCAATAAAACAGCTGACTCATAATATTCTGGACTTCGATATGTTTACGGTGTATTTGTAAGATCCGTAGTAAACACAGCTGATACGTGTTTATTTAAAGCGACCCTTACACTACTTTCCAGAAATTGTCACAATCGATCATTCGAAGTTTATGGCGATTTTAATTTTATTTGACCCGTATATTTCAATTTATTAATAGCAATGCTACAAAATATCATCTTAAAAACGTTCTTATTTGAGTGTAATTAGATGGGGCACAAATGCTACCAGATAACCTTAAGGTCAAAAAAATATGACAATTGGGCCAAAGCTGATTCAATTGCAAATTACAGGGTGTTTCAGCGTTACAAATGCGCAAATTACTAACTAAATAAAGGTAAAAATCCTTAATTCGTATAAAATTACATCAACCAGGGACAAAATACCTCACTAAAGAATTTCGACACCACTGCGAATCTTGGAACTTTATTGTTGTTATTAAATGGGGCTAATGTAAAAAAAATAGTAAAATAAATAGTGGTGTTTAAGACTTTGAACCGAAATAAGGAGAAAATTTCGGAAATCATAAGTGTTAAAAATGTTTTATTTACAAAAATCAGTTCATTTGTTGCCTATTTCAGAGGAGTTTTGAAGATGATTGATTCACTCGGAATATTTATAAAAATATTTCTGATCATATTTTTATCCCTTCTCCTGTTCTGAATAACGATACAATTAATTGGATCCACTTTATAGCTAATCGAGTATCATTCAAAATAATTACAATTTATCTCGACTAGCCTTGACATAAACCTTATGATTTAAATTAATGACATAATAGTGATAATAAACACTTTCGCGACCCCGTATAAAAATGTTCAAATAATAATCTTCAAAATTGGTTTCGGTTGAGTTTTTGCGATGCCATCGCCGTGGAGGTCGATGTCTAGGTCGATGAAGGGAGAACAAGACGTTATTCTCTCATTTAAAATATCCACCAGATCGATCGCGTTTTTTTTTTGTATTTACACAACCTTGTACTCTTATTGCAAGGAAAACCTACTCACGGAGTGAAGTTTAAATTAGATTACATCAAGAGAGCGCAACTCTGCTATTCCATTTAACTGCAATTAATTGAAAAAATAATAATAATAATGTAAGGTAATATTAGAGAAGAGACAAAATACAGGGTGAATTTTTTTTCGATGTTTAGTTTAGGAATCTGGGAAAGTAGCAGATACAAAAAAGTTTAAATGAGGAAAGATGTGCAGTTTTATGATCCTTATTAAATGTTACTTCTTATTTTTTGAAAAAACGTCATGGCTCGCTATTATATATATTTGGAAAAATCCGAAACTTTGTCATTTAAAATTTTTTTGTAAAATAAATAGCAACGCAGCTACACGCATCTGAAGAGATTCAGATTTTTCCAAATATCTAGTCAGCCATGACGTTTTTTCAAAAATAAAAGTAATGTTTAATAAGGATCACTAAACTGCACAACTTTCCTCATTTAAAGTTTTTTTGTATCTCTGCTACTTTCCCAGATCCCTGCACTAAACATCGAAAAAAACTCACCCTGTATATCAAATTACAAGAAAAAATTCATAAAAAATGGACATGTCAAGGTGAAAATAAACAATTGCCTGTGGTCTAAAGTGTCATGTCTTCTAGAAAATTAATCAAGAATTATTACGTGAAACTTATGCCTATACCGGGTAGGAAAGTACCGATGGTCTATCTGAAGTTACGTGAGAGCGATAAAGTAAGTCATAGAAATCCATGCGATAGAGAAGGATGGCTATAATGAAGGCGACATAGTCACCGCCCTTTTCGCCCTTCCACAAATAAGATCCACTTCTTATTTGTGGATGGGCGGTGACTATTAGACGCCTTCACTATACCCATCCTTGTCTATCACATGGATTTCTATGGCTTACTTTATCGCTCTCACGTAACTTCAGATAGACCATCGGTACTTTCCTACCCGGTATAGAGTAATGGCGCGCACACGAGATAATACGCTAGGAGAAGTAATTTCGAGTAATTTTTGTAGAATTACCTAATATCGATTTGTAAGTAATTTATTTATTCTTTAATGAAAATCCCAGCTAACGGAGAGCCCCTATCTGCTTTTTTAACACACTGATTTCTGGAACTGGATATTGCCTTTAAAAAAATATAAAAACGTGTGTTTTTACTGAGATAAAAATATCTCGAAACGATCTTTTTTCTTTGAAATTGTCAGTGTTGTCACACGCATATGTTTGAATTGATTCGTTTGGTATTAAACTGTTACTCAAACCCACTTGTGTTAACTTTTCGCGTTATTTGATAATAAACGTATGTTGATGTATCAAAAAAAAACATAAAGTGACATCACATTCGGAAGAGATCCACGCAACAAGGAAGGTACAACTGCTAATGTGTATAATCAATATTTCTAGTACAAGACAATTCCGAATAACAATCACTTCCGCGAGTAGGAAAAAGGAAAATAAACACTGCAATCGAAGCTTGCATAAATTGGATATACCTGCACCCTTATTACCGGCTTTACTTTAATTGAAATCAAAGTTCTACCCAAAAATAGTTTGCCACTTGCAAAAAATGTGCATGGATATGCAGTAGACGCAAAATAGTTTTTCATTGTAATCCTCTGCCTATCGTGACTGTAACTGTGTCTGTAGGACATTTACCATTGTTAATTTCCACTGAATAAGCCTCGATTGTAGGTGGCCGAACAATAAATTGTTGCACTTGGTAGGTACATTCTTTGCGAGAGGCCAACAGGTAATACTACTTCCTCGTAATAAAAAATTGCTTATATCCGACCAAGAAGTCGAATTATAAATAAACAAACAACTCGCCTAAGTATAAGCTGGCGTCTAGATAACTAAATATATTGTGAAATGCTTTTACACAGGGCAGTACTTTAAGATTTTAGTGAGGTAACACCAACAATCAAATTCCAAATAAAATAGTATTTAAATAATTTGACAATACACAGTGCTTGTTGTAAGTAATTTTAAGTGTGCATATTCTATTTACTTCTGAGTCGCAAATAATTACAATATCTCTTATTTTCTTTTAAAGTTGTTGTAAAACATCTTATTTCGTTGAAAGGAGGCAAATATAAAAATAGTTATACTATTTGATACTTTAGGTTAATTTTTGGAAATACTGGCATATCCAGAAAATAATCTCTTGTTTCTGTGAGGCGGCCAGTGATCTCTGTTTTAAGGAAGCGAAACACTTAAAAGTGGGTTAACTTTAGTTATTCTTGTCCAATACTGCTCTCGATCCATCTAGTAGTGACACTTACATATTTCAGATATTCTAATTTTATTCTGATGAAAAAATAGCGAGACGGAGCATTAAAACATGAATTAAATGTGGGTTAAGAGGCTGTAATTTCTGCGCTATTTTCGTCTTTATTGCCGTTGTACAGGATGTATCCTTTGTACTGATTTTAGAACAAAAAAAAATATATGACAGAATTTTCTTTCTCAAATATGCAGTTTCTGATATAGCGAAATAATTATGTCATATAAACGTTGATTCAGTCATAATTTTAAGGGAATATATATTAGAATACGAAAATGATTTGGATGAAAAAAAAATATTTTCAATTCATTATTTAATCCCCGGGCCATTCCTGGCCCCTGAGCCACAAAGGATTATTAAGAGTGAATTTTGACCTGCCATAACAGACGGTAATTAACCTAGTTTTTAATACGTAGTAAACGACAAGGAATCAACAGATGGTTTTAACTAGACACATGAATGAATAAGATATATTTTTACATTTTAAATATTAACAAGTATTATTTATCTGTTAATAAAAACAAACGTATAGGGATACTAATTGTTTTCGAATGTCAGTACGATTAAAACAACACTCATCCGTCCATAGTACTTTGTTAATAAAGTTGAGAACCGCTGCACATTGATTTTGAAACCAATTGCAAAATTCAAGACGACTTAGGAAATCAGCTGTTTCTCTTCAGTGCTCAAACGCTCTGTGGTCCGCCGGTCATTTTTAAAACGTCGATTCAATTTCTTTTCGATTCTCTGTCTTTATTAGGCCTTTCGAAAACTTGGTTAAAATTAATGACATTATGGCTGAATCACCCTGTAATTCTATACGTATTATTCGTATAATTTAAAGGAAGTTAAAAATTAGTTAAAAAATATATTTCTGCATCTATGACATTAATCATTTTTAATTATTATTGACAGTCTACGCATTCATCAATTGTTTGCTATTAATTCATGGCC